TCTCGGTCCTAGAACTCTGTGGATCAGGATAGCCTACCTACCTCTCCCTCCCAAGTGCTGGGATCAAAAAATGTGCACCACCATTGCCCAAAATATATGTTTTAAATCAGTGGACTGGGCAGAATATGGTGTCACATATTTAATCCTCACTCTGGAGCAGAAGCTGGTAACATCGTTGGTTAACCCAATAACTCATGTGGCTTTAGGAGGGTTTGTTTTGTTACCAGACAGGGTCTCACTATTTAGTTTTGGCTAGCCTGGAACTGTATGTAGACCAGACTGGTCTCAACTCACAGAGATCCCCCTATCTTTGCCTCCCAAGTGCTGGGACTAAAGGTGTGTGCCACCATGTCCTGCCCGATTAAGGATTTTTGAATTGGTGAATTCAAATTGATCCTACTTATTTAAACACACGTGCAGGACTTAGAAGAACTGCTTGTGACTGGAGATAACTCTACTCTTGGCTCTAAAAGTTTAAGGAGCTGGAGAGATTGCTCAGCAGTTAAGAACACTTGCTGCACTTCTGGAGAACTTAGCTTTGGTTTCCAGCACCCACATGGCAGTTGACAACTGTCTGGTAACTCCAGTTCAAGGAAACCTAATTGCTTTATTTTGGCCTCTTAGGGAACTAGGCACGCGGTGTGGTGCATATACATACATGGGGGCAAAACATTCATGCACATAAATTAAGTCCTTCGTAAAAACAAAAACAAAAACCTCAAAAAACAAGACCCAACAACTTTGAAGCAGCAATTGCAATCCCACAGTCACACACCCCTTAAATGCAAGCCCTGAAACAAAAGCCCAAGAAAGTAATACAGGCAGAAATGGTCACTCTCTCAGTAAAAACAGCGTCGTGGCACACACCTTTAATCCCAGGACTCAGGAAACAGAGGCTTGCAGATCTCTGTGGGTTCAAGACCAGGCTGGTCTACTGGGCAAGTTCCAGGACAGCCAGGGCTGCACAGAGAAACTCTTATCTCGAAAAACCAAAAAAAAAAAAATCAAAACAGAAATAAACAGCAAAGTAAGACAGTCACTCCACACCCCCACAGCGATTCATCGTCTGGCGCCACACACTCAAAGTTGTCACGCAACAGCCCACCAGCAGAGGACGAGATCCCAAATTCAGTGGCTCAGTATATTGACAGAAGCCAACCCCGTTTGGCGCGCATGCGCAGTGTCACAAACCACGCACGCATACATTCAACCGTTGTCCCGCTCTTGCAGAGCCTTACCGTCGCCTCACACAAACCAGCGCAC